TATATATATATATATATATATGTATATATATAATATCTTATCACATGTTAACTTCTGTGCATGCGCAGGTAAACAGTAAGGAACCACGACGGACGGATAAAAGCTCACGTGTTTTCGTGCTCAGCGTTATGTTAACGACACACCTGCGCAGGTAGCAGAACCAACCCGACAGAGCACACAGCAACCCCAGGACGCCAGCGATTGGCGTACGGAGAGATAAGAATCTGACACACACATATATATATACCAAGAATAAAGTGAGGGATATTATACGACTAAGAGAACATCGCACGGTTGCAACAGTAGAGAGCGAGCCAACTACATATCTGATGTATACATACCACGTATAGATCGGGTTGGTATATACCTACAAACTTTGAGGAAAGGAAGGTTACAGGAGAGGACTGCAATCAAACAAACGCAATTGCAACTAAAGAAGGTGGGTTGCGCAGTAATATTTTCTGCCAATGACAATAACAGTTTCGCTTTAGTAAAGCTCAAGGGGTCGCTGTCGTATCAGGTACTACAGATATGTACCCGAGGTACATATATGTATACACAAAGTGTACCAGACTTGCACTACAGAAGTGTACCCTAACCCTAACCCTAAACATACCTCATATAAAAATATAAACATAATACTAAACAACCTAAAACTACCTCGGGTACATATCTGTAGTACCTGATACGACAACGACCCCATCTGCTTTAGTAAATCGGTAAAATTGTAGAATCTATAACGTTGGTATGATTCATCCGTGGCTTGGCTGTTGTGCGTATCACATCAGTAATCTCACCTCGAGATTTTATATTCCGAATTTGTTTTACATACAGAAATGTGATTCTGTTACTATCATATGTAGATGACACGTTCCATATCCACGCGATACATAATGATTTCAAATACAAGTAACGTTATTTAATCGTACTTTCGACTGAAATATTAATTGTAACAACGTCTTTGTGAGTGTAGCTAGCACGCAGAAAGTACGAGCTGATTGAATAGACTACTGTATACGCCACATTTTTCGCGTACAGATGTTTTCGCGAATTCAGACTTGACGGACAATTTCGCGAGTGGTTAATTTCGCGTTCGGTGAATTCCCGAATCAGTGAAGAACAGCGTGTTGTTATTTTCGCGGTCGGGGACGCGTTCGCGAAATTCGCGAAAATTAAACCACCGCGAAATATGCATCGGATATCTGTTTTCACGCTCTCGATCAGATTGCAGTTTGCTGCCGAGCAGACGATGTCAGCAGCCAATGAGAAGCCAGCGCGTCCTGATGACGCACAACACAAGAGTGCGGCGCCCTCTGTCGACAAACACATGACCGTGACGCCGTCTAACGACCGGAAATGCCTCGACGACGTGCAACGTGCTACCGCTACGCCCTCTCCTGACAACAAACTCACCGACTCCCGCCCTCCCTCTCCGCCGCCACTCCCTTCTCTCTCGCCGCCCCCAGTTGTGATCGGCGGTGGGTGATGGAGGCAGGGTTGTGACGTACCGATCCAGGATTCGTGCTGGTCCCCGCAGTAAGGGGCCGTCTCAACATTATCAGTGTCCAGCCATGAGCCAGGGTCGTCCGCCTGGAACGTGTCCGGAGCATCTTCCACACCTGCACGCAGAAATAAATCTTAATGAGGTTACGTCACCGTAAACAGTAAAAGTAAAAATAAAAAAATCCAATATTTCTTTTTCACAAAATGTAAGTAATTCTGTTCACTTTTTATGGTTAAATTGCTACATCTTAAAGTACGTGCGGTACCTAGCGCATTTATACATGCAATAATGCCTATATCCATCGCCCCACGCGTACGCTCGCGGTCGACGCTGACCGCTCGATCGAGTTGGCCAACTCGCAGTCGTCAGTGTAAACGCGCTGCACAGTTCATAGAACGGTTGATAGAGAGCGTTGGGAAGTTCGTCCAATTCGCCAACAGAAAGTTGGCAGTGTAAACCCAGCTTTATTTACTCCGTCGTACAAATATTTGGGTGTTTTTGGCATCGCAAGCAACGACCTTTGCTGGAGCAACCACATCGATAACAGTCGTGAAGGTCACTCGCTCCTTGGGCATGTTACGTCGTACTCTTTCTTTTGTTGACACTGAAACCCAGACCCGGCCTCACTATGTCCCTGGCCTTTGTTTCGGTAATTCTATACTAGAACACTCTCCCTAAATAGAGTAATTTGTATGCTACTAGTATATGTAGTTTACTGGGGCTAATCGTCCGTGTAGTATCAGTCAGTAAACATTGCTATTGCTGCTGCTATCCGCAGTGGCGATATATCGATCTGATCGACGTCGAATCGTTATAGTTCCTTGGACTGTGAAGACTGAAGAGTTATCTTTACGAGATTAGCAAAACCCCATTTATATAGAGGAGAGTACCGTGCGCACATTACACTAGCGGATACGCACGCCCTATGCTTGACTTCCCTGGCGAGGGCCTTACGTTACCTGCTGCCTGTCAGAGAATGTCTCAACTCATGCAGAGTAAATGTAAACACGTCGCACACATTTCGACTTCACAACAAGTGATTTTGGACAATGTCTATATTATGTTTAAAACATCCCATTCGCAAACTACCGCGGAAATGGAACACAGTTTTCCTGAGCGATTGATTTTGAGTTGCTCATCCCGATTTAAGCAAGCACACAGAAGAGAGATCATCGGCAAGGCCAGAAATAAGGAAAAATAGAATACTGAGAAAACATATATATATATATATATATATCAGGATAATAAATCCATCTATTATTATTACTCACTTCTGATAATATGATATCACATGTAAGCTATTTGAATATGAATCGAATATGTATATATATAATATCTTATCACATGTTTACTTCTGTGCATGCGCAGGTAAACAGTAAGGAACCACGACGGACGGATAAAAGCTCACGTGCTTTCGTGCTGAGCGTTATGTTAACGACACACCTGCGCAGGTAGCAGAACCAACCCGACAGAGCACACAGCAACCCCAGGACGCCAGCGATTGGCGTACGGAGAGATAAGAATCTGACACACACATATATATATACCAGGAATAAAGTGAGGGATATACGACTAAGAGAACATCGCACGGTTGCAACAGTAGAGAGCGAGCCAACTACATATCTGATGTATACATACCACGTATAGATCGGGTTAGTATATATACCTACAAACTTTGAGGAAAGGAAGGTTACAGGAGAGGACTGCAATCAAACAAACGCAATTGCAACTAAAGAAGGTGGGTTGCGCAGTAATCTTTTCTGCCAATGACAATAATAGTTTCGCTTTAGTAAAGCTCAATGGGTCGTTGTCGTATCAGTTACTACAGATATGTACCCGAGGTACATATATGTATACACAAAGTGTACCAGACTTGCACTACAGAAGTGTACCCTAACCCTAACCCTAAACACACCTCATAT